TGGGTAATAGAATTAGATCGGAAATTGAGCGTGATGATTTTTATCATATAATTCTCTTGATTGTCCATATGGAATGAGTAATAGAATTAGATCGGGGAAAAGTTCATATGGAATGAGTAATAGAATTAGATCGGGGACAAGTTCATATCGAATGAGTAATGGAATTAGATCAAGGACAAGTTCATATCGAATGAATAATAGAAGTAGATCAGGGACAAGTTCAAATTGAATGAGTAATAAAATTTTATCGGGGACAATTTCATATGGAATGAATAATATAATTAGATTGGAGACAAGTTCATATCGAATGAGTACCATAATTATATCGAGGACAACTTCAGATCAAATGAGTAATAGAATTAGATCGGAGACAAGTTCATATGAGAAAAAACCCAGATCTAGACGTGTAGTCGATTTAACGTCTTGGACCTTGTAAGTTTTTTGACTAACGGAAATTCAAGTTAATTAAAAACAAAAACCATGCTTTCATATACATCAAGAAGGATAATATATTTTGATTTTGCACCTATTAACACCATTTTTTTTTTTTATAAAATCCTAAATTTATGAAACCCAAACAAATGCTAAATGAAATTATCCTCATACGTCATAGACTCATAGTAGACCATTAGTTAATTTCTGCTTTTAATTTATTTTTGTTAAAGTCAGGTTTTATACAAATAAAAACATGAAAATTTTCATAATGATGTTTCCCCAAAAATAATAAAATGTCAACTAAAAACTATATTTTTTGGATTTTTATAAGCTAGCGTAAACTTATGGGATCATGTGTTACCAAAACTACATAAATAATGTGGTCATTTCAGAGATTATAAAATAAAATTTTGATATGATAAATCATTCATTTGACACATCTAGTTTATGTGGTTAAGAATTCGGAAAATGTGATTTGACAATTTATAAAAAATTTGAACTTGTTTTCCAATATTTTAGTAATTACCATGAATTTCATTAACATTAATTTTGTATTGTCTTTCAGTTTTGCACAAAAAAAGGAATATTCTAAATCAGTTTGGCACTTATTTTTTTTGGCTAAATCAATTTAGTATTTATCTTGCATATTAAAATATTGATATTGATCATTTGTCATTCATCAACTATAACATATGAAAATAAATGATGAATTATTTTTTAGAAGTTATGTAACCCAAGAATGAAAAGTAAACACGTCCATAAATCCAATTCAAGTAACGAATAAACCTTGTTTTCTTTTTTACATTCCCAAAAAACACGTAAGTGGTCTCATGTTCATTTTACTAAATAGCAATTCTAATTAATCTGAATCCGATAAATCCGATTGACCGAAAACTTTTTAATGGTTAAGTGAAAAATGTTAAAATAGCAGATTCTAATCTGAATTTGATGGACGAGAAACAATACCACAAGAATTATTTATTTTCAATAAAAATTTGAAATATATATTTTTAAATGTGAAAAAACTTTACCAAAACATTCAAGATGTTTTTTGCTCTTTTAGTTTGATTGGCTACCGCTCTACCTCTTAAAGTAATTTACCACGTAATCGTAAAATATTTACAAAATAATAAATTTTGATTATTTGAAGTAAGAGTGCGTGCCATAAACGTTTTTTAACAATTGAGGAGAGACCTCTCTTTGAGTAAAGGTTAGGCGATTCAACACCTTCTTAGGATCCATCAATTCCACCCAAAAATTTCCAACACCTGCTTAAACAAAAAGTCATCTGTAGGATGATGATATATACAATGAAATGGACCGATAACAAAACTGTTAAACTAATTCAGAGAAATTTGTATTTCGCTTACTATTAAACCTCATTATGTGATATTGGGTAGAAATACGAACTGTAGTGAAGCTTCTCTCGCTGCAAAAAGTTTAGGTTTCTATACTCGCCTTTTTGAATAAACACTAAAATAGCACCAACGATTGATCTTTAGTTGTATGCATGTCTCTCTCCTCTTCACAATTTCTTACATAAAGGGCAAAAAAAGAGAGAAATTGAGACACCATTAGTTGAACTTTTAAATTAGTTTTACATAGTTTATAAATTATGTGAGACTTGAAATATGATGGTTAGTGTAAACTCTAAAATGTATCCTACTACTTTACACACTTTGCATACAGTATAGTGTACCCTACTTAAACAAAAAAAAAGTGTACCCTACTATTTATAGGAATTTATAAATTAATTTTGGCCCTACTATATAATAAAAGTTGATTTATTACATTCACAACATGCCATTTATGAATAAATATTTATTGTATTAATATCATAAGAGTGACATTTTTTTATAAATTTTTTATTGTTATTAGTCTTAGTCTAAAGACATGTAATTTAATGTGGAATTTTAGTAACCACACGTTACAAAATTGTTACTTTTTGAGGCTAATTTTTGTTTATAGTTTTCTTACATTCATATACAGTTTTGTTTATGATTTCTATTGGTCTAGATTCTGGCCAATAATAAACAGGTTCAGATTTTCTTACTATCTATTATGGGCAATTTATTTCGATCGGAACTTTGTAATGTAGCAATTTTCTTTGTAATGAATGATGTAACATGTAATGTGGTTTTGCAAAGAATCAATAACAAATTTGGTAAATCCATAAAACTTTTTAAAATCTCTCTACTTTTAAAATCAATCAATTCTACACAGATTCATCTCCCAACAATCCCCCATATTTGATTGTCTCTATGACACATTGAATTATTGAAAGATGTATAAGAAGTGAGTAATTGTTTTTTTGTAACCCAAACTTAATTTGATGCATTTATTTCCTATAAACAAATATATGACTGAATCATCTTGTAACATGTAACGTGGTTTTGACTAATTGAATAGTCCACTAAAAGATAAACAGCCGAGTATTTGTTTTTTTCTAATTCGTGGATTAAAACCATTATTTATTTGCATGCTTCCTTTTCTGGGTTTTTTTTATTCATGCATGTGAGTATATTATTTTAATTTATTTAGTGATTTATATTTGTTAATTTGGTAAGTTTTTCACTGAAATTATATTCTTAATTTTTCCGACGTAATGTTTCCAAAGATTTAATAAGTGAAATTGTTTGAAGTGTAAATTAATTAAAAATATAAAGATGTTATGATATTAAAAATTTTATAAATATTAAACATTATTAGAAGACAATCCAGAGTAATGTAATTATTAAAATAATTTAGTAAAAGCATGTGTATATATTATACTATAAAATGAAAGGAAATAGAAACATCTTACATACTTTTAAATTAGTTTATTATATAATAATTTGATGTTCTCTTTCACTTTATATGAGAAGAAAAAAGTAATCGGAAAATCTTATATAATTAAATACAATAAAAATGAATAATGGTGTATTTAAGTATAAAAGAGAAATTAAATACATTTTTTGTCATTGATTTATACATTAATTAAATAATTAATTGGATTTATTAGAATTTAAAGAGAATGACACATATAAAATTCTGGATGTCACGTGTCGACTTCTTAGAGCTTGAGTTTTATGGTAACCTTATTTTATTATATAACATTTGGTACTATAAAAGTTGTTTTTAGTCAAATTAACCATTTTGATATTTTAGTCAAATCATTTTAAATTTATTCATACTAATTAACAACTATGAAAGACAATTTACAGTAAAATATAAAAATAAAGTCCGAAAATTGAGATTTTTCAAGATAAAAAATCATATAAATAAAGTTCTTGGTAAAGATCTAGAAATTTATCAAAAACATATTTTCTCAATAGAATTGATAGTGGAATATAATGGATATCATAAAGAGCATCATGACTTTTTTTCTTGTAGTAATGTTTTCAATTTCGTTTTATAACAACAATGTTTTGGCATTTCCGGGTAAGTTGTTAATGTTCAATTATCTTTGATCATCTTAAGTTGTGGTAGTAACTATTTATATGTATGTATGTTTGTACACATCTCTTTTTATGATAAAATGTATTATATATTAACTTGGGTTGTTTATGAGCAGCGGGCGACCAATCGATATATGCTCGTTGCATTGGTCCATGTCCGAGGTATGCCGTATCTCATTGGTGTGAATATCAATGTTTAGATAGGAAGTACATGGCAGGAGGAGAATGTGCTTTTATTGAAGGAGAAGGACCAGCACCACGATGTTGTTGCATTAACTTATGAGAATTGATCCTCCTAGTAATTGGCAATTTGAGCATTATCTTTCTCTCTTCACTACATTTTAAAAGATGCATTTTCTATCATTTTTTGCTTTTCAAATTCTTGATAACAAATGCAATAAAATTAAGTTCATTTTTTTTATATTATTTGTCTGTGTTAACAATCTGGGTTCACCAAAGTCTTCTTTGAGGGTGACTGCAAGATATTGATCGACAATGTCAATGGTGGTCTAACCGATACATCGATTGCAGGCTTTTATCGAGACGTCCAAGTTTTGGGCATCTAAATTCAAAGAGATTTTTTTTTTTCATGTAAACCGTGGTTGTAACCAAGTTGCTCATAATCTTGCCCAATTTGGGTGTAGTTCTGCTAACAATGATCACCCTCCTTGGTTGGTGAACATTTTGTATGATGATATTTCAAGTTAATACAATTTGCTTTGACGAAAAAAAAAATCAATCTAATTACTAATTCGCCAACATTTTAAACATTATTTACGTAATTATACTAAATTCCATAACTAAAACTAAAACGTAAAGCTATATAAGATTTATATTATAAAATACATATTCTTACCCTAACAGTCGTACAAAAAATTGATTTTTATATGTTCCTTGTTTCAATTTCACATTGATACAAAGATTTATTCTTTACAACAAATATAAAAATCAGACTTCGGTTGCTAAAAGAAATTTTGGTCAAAAAAAAGAAACGTGGATGTTTATCATTGCATACGGGGTTGATAATATTATCACTTGTGACTTCTCTTCTGAAAATATGGAAAAAAAAAAAAACAAACAAACGCAACGTTTTGCTTAATTGAGTCGGTTGGTTATTGGGATCAATCCAGATCGGTACAGTAATAAACCGAACCAGTCCGATGTTTGTTTTCTTCGTCGTCGTTCCATCAACAGATCCAGAGAAAATGTTTCTCAAGTCCCTTTTTGAAAGCAACTAACCTCTTATATCCTTTATTTGTCTACATATCCCCTTCTCTATTAATGAAATGTGTGTTGCCCATTATACCCTTCCTTCATTTTCAGAATAATTAATTAATTACTAAAATTTAAAAAAAAACGAAAATTGGAAAAAAAAAAAAAAAAAACGAGCTCTCGCTCTCGTCGTGCTCCTCTTCCGCCATTGTTGCCACAGATTCGATTTGCAGTCGCCATTGTTGCCGTATCCTCTCCTCCGGCGAGCTGGGTCGAGATAGAAAGGACATGTATGTTTCTCGAGCTCCTTTGAGCTTGAAATTGAATCAAAACCATTTACAATTAAGGAGATTGAATCCAATTGGATTTAGCTAATTGTTTGGTATGCACATTGGAAGTTTATGCATAGTTTCTGGGTCGAATATGTCTGTAAATGGGTAAGAAATGGATTGCAGCAACTGAATCATAGTGAATTGTAGTTTAGAACCCGAAACCATTCGATTTGAGTTCTTGACGCGAAAGTACAACTGGTAGAACTTGGTAGAACTGAACCTGAATCTATTGAAAAATATATATGTAGTATTACTAGTTACACTTAGTATTACCCAGATGTATGTAGTATGACTAGTTACACTAGTATTACCAATATACATGTAGTATTACTAGTTACACTAGTATTACCCAGATATATGTTGTATTACTAGTTACACTAGTATTATCCAAATATATGTAGTATTACTAGTTTTACTAGTATTACCCAGAATTGTAGTACAACTAGTATAACTCGCAGAGTTTTTGTATTGTTTTGGCAGGATACAATGAGGGAGAACGTGATCATATATTTTAAATGCGAAAGTCGCATGTATAGCTTGATGATGAAGACATCAGGGGAGAAGATAACTCTCTCCATGTTAGAAGGTAGGATATGCACGAAGCTAGTGTTAGATAAAAGTAAGGTTAAATTGCAAATGAGGTACAATGCAGTGGTGTTGGGACCAGAGGAAGAGATTTACATTTGTGATGATGAGGATGTTGGTGTCTATTTAGTTTTAGGTGAAAATAACCGTAGTCCGTAGATATGTTTTGTATGTGGAGGTCATCACTCCACCAGAATTGTCCGAGCAACTGTGGAGAGTAGAGATTATGTTTTGTTTTGTTTGTGGTTGTTATTTGGCAATCATAATATTTGATTTTATCTGCACTTTATGATTTGTAAAACAATTTCGACTTAGACAACTATGTAACACTAGTTTTTTATGATGTAATACTATGTTTTTTTTCTATGGCAAATGGGTAAAACTAGTATAAAAAATAGTACTAATAACGAGATTTGGTAATACTAGTAAAACTGGTATAACTTATGAAGGAATTTGAATTTCAAATTTATTTTTTCCAACATTAAATATTACACTGACTATTAAGTAATAATGAACTCTTATAAATGATATAAATAAATTAAGCGAGAAAAAAAAATTATATCATATCGGATTGTTTTAATAGACGAGATTTGGTAATACTAGTAAAACTGGTATAACTTATGAAGGAATTTGAATTTCAAATTTATTTTTTCCAACATTAAATATTACACTGACTATTAAGTAATAATGAACTCTTATAAATGATATAAATAAATTAAGCGAGAAAAAAAAATTATATCATATCGGATTGTTTTAATAGACTCCATACAACATAATCCTTATACTTTTAAGTTCACTTTTTGTACAACCAATAACTAGGGTACAACTATATTTAAAAAAAGCTGCGCACTGGTGGAAAAAAACGGCGCACACGTGGATAAGATGGGGCCCACGTGTCCTAAAATTGAAATTCTCCCATTTTTTTGGGTCCAAATCTGAGGAGCTCCTTACTCCTCACTTATCAATCTATTTACTCTCCAAAAATCTCACATACTCTCCTACTCTTAATGAAATACAAAAACTCCATTTTACCCTTCTAAAATCAAATTTAATAATAAATAACAAAAATAATTTGACCAATAAGAAGCTATTATTTTGAACAATGAAAATTGACTGTTCCGACCAATCATAACATTCCATATCAGTCCGTATTTGTGTATTTGTGTCTGTATTTAATGTTTGATACTCTATATTTGTATAACTTGGTAAAACTTGGTTTCTTAATGGTACAACTACGACCAATTTAACAAATCTTTATATGTAATTTAATAAATTAGTTAGATAAATTATAAAATCTTCATATGCACTTTAGAAATTTAACCAATGTTTAATAAATCTTCTTAAATAACATTAGTTAAACAAAATTTATAGGATAGTTTCCATTAAACTCATTTTTGTACAAATTGTTTAATAAATTAGTTAGACCATTTATAAAATCTTCATATGCACTTTAGAAATTTAACCAATAATTTAACAAATCTTCTTAAATAACATTAGTTTAACAAAATTTATAAGATAGTTTCCATTAAACTTATTTTTGTATAAGAAAGACCTTATACTTTTAAGATGACTTTGTTATTGTTATCCCCATTGCATTGCAAAACACACAAAAATAACGTTTTGACAGATATTTTTGCATGAAAACATAAGAAATGTACCTCAAATAACTAAAATCATGGGTATAACTAAAAAAATTTAGTTTCAATCCAAGTATAACTAATTATTCAAAACATCTCAAAAAGTACAACTGTGTATATGCGAGTACAACTTGAAAACTAGGAATAACTATGTTCATTTTTGCAGTGCCACCTGGCAGATGTACTTGCTTTGCGGCGCCCACTTGCAATTTATGACGGCGTAGTTTGACCGAGAGCAGTTTGACCCACGTTTTTTACGGTTTTAAAATTTTGAAAATTTTCAATTTTTTTATTCTCTACTATAGAAAGAGAAAAAGGATGAGAGAGAACAAAATCTGGGTAGAACAACTACGTACCAAGTTGTACCTAGTTATACAAAAATTTCAAATAACTATATTAACCAAGTTGTACTAAGTTTAACAAACTGACGTAGTTATGCCAAATTTCTAAGTTACAAAAACAATATAGTTATACCAAGTTCTATTAGTTGTCTTAAGTGTGAGTTCGGATAATTGATGATCCGATTAGACTGGAGAGCCCCTGAGAATTTGATCCCATTTTTTTAGGTTTTCCCCCAAATTTGACGGCGCACATGTGTAAATTTGACTCGCACATGTGTAAATTTGACGGTGCACATAGTTTTACCTAGTAATACCAGTAGTATAAATAAAATAAAAAACAAAACCAACATAGTTTTACCTAGTATTACCAATTATACAAATCTAAACAACAACTATAAGACAAAGATATAATAAAGAAGGTATATTCTTCTTCACCTCCAGCTACCATGATACTATCAATTTCATGTGGGATGTAAACAATGAACACAGATTAGAAACATTACAACCCAAAATAGTTCATATCATACAATGCTCTCAGAAAATATGACTCCATGGACGTAGCATCTTCTCCAATCTGTGTGTGCCCAATAACAATGCTAGATAAGAAGTAGAAGACCATGTGGAATAAATTAAAAAGTCGAAATTTTCTCCCAAATGGCTCTACGGACGTAGCATCTTCTCCAGTCATTTCGAACATTCGATTTTGAGTAAGCTTCTAACATGGAGAGAGTTATCTTCTCCCATGATGTCTTCATCATCAAGCTATACATGCGACCTTGGCATTTGAAATATATGAACACGTTCTCCCTCATTGTATCCTGCCAAAACAGTACAAAAACTCTGTCAGTAATACTGGTTTTACTAGTTCTACTACATTTGTAGTAATACTAGTGTAACTAGTCATACTACATATATCTGGGTAATACTAGTTTAACTAGTCATACTACATGAATCTGGGTAATACTAGTGTAACTAGTCATACTACATATATTTGGGTCATACTAGTGTAACTAGTCATACTATATATATATATATATATATATATATATATGTTTCAATAGTTTCAGATTCATTTCTACCCAGTTTGACCAGTTCTACTATCGCGAGAAGAACTCAACTTGAATGGTTTCGGGTTCAAAACTATAATTCACTATGATTTAGTTGCTAAAATCCATTTGCTATCCATTTAAAAACCTAATCGACCCCTAGAAAGTATGCATAAACTTACAATATCCATACCAAACACAAGAAGCCAAATCTAATTGGGTTGGACTTCTTTCCGAGTTGGTTCTTCCTTGCCTATCGCACATAAACCACCATTATCATCCTTGGCAAGTGGATCCTAAGGACCAGCTGGTGGGTCTGAAAGACCAGCTAGTGGGTCAGCAGACTCATGCAATTGAACACAATTATACAATAGTATTACTCAGTATTACTAAATGTTTGTTATACCGTAGTATTATGAGTTTTACCTAGGCATCACAATAGTATTCTCTAGTTCTACTAATGTTACCCAGATGTCAAAATATTATTTCTCAATTCTACCAGTATTACTCAGAAATCACAAATGTATTATTCAACCATTATTACTTAAAATCCAAAATTCACATTTCGAACCCAACTACTTACCATCTCCACGCGATTTTCGTTTGATATCTCTTCAGATCTCTCTTCAATGGAATCACGCAAGGTTCGGCTACTCTCTCCTTCATCTTCATTCTCTTCGTCTTCACTCTCTTCATCTTCTTTCTCTTCTACTTCATTCCCTTCTTCTTCATCGTCTTCATTCCCTTCTTCTTCATTATTCTCAGCAACTGGAGATAACTATTTATCTCTATCTTTTTCTATTTCTACCTCCTCGTCAACATTGTTCGAATCTGGAGGGTTCCGCAAACTTTATCCATCTTTCTCCTCAACATTAGGGTTTCCCGAACCCTCTTCTCCTCTCTTCCTCTTTTTTGACCACCTTGTCTTAACCATTATCAAGAGAAATCAACAATTTTTCACAGTCAAAATCTTGAATTCTACATAGTTTTACCAATTAAAGATGGAGAAATCGTAACTTCTCTTTTGAATTTCAGAGAATTGAAGCTGATAAACGTTCATGAGGAAAAGTCGAAGAGAACGATTTCAAAGTAGAGAAAGAGAAATCAATTTCAGGTTAGATCCGAATAGTTATGGGTGGGGAAAAGAAACTGGGTTAAATCTAGGTTTTCTCTATTATTTTTGTGTTTTAGCTGGGGTAACAATGTAATAAAAAAATTGAAAAAGAAATTCTGTTTTTTACGGGGAGATATGAGGTTTTGTTTTGACAAAAAGGGACTTTGCAGACGTTTTCTCCAGATCCACATTGCTCGTAAGTCGTAGTAAGTAGAAGCAAAATCAGAAGAGATGGTGACGAAAACAGAGGAGACGCAATTGAACCAGCTCGAGATTCAAGTCGACAATGGCGGAGGTGGAGCTTGGGAGTATCTTTGTCTCGTTCGTAATCTCAAAATTCGCCGGTCGGAGAAAGTGTTAAAACACGCTTCCTCGATTTTGAATGATCCGAGAAAAAGATCTGCTCTTGGTCCAGATGGTTAGTTCGAAATTCGAATCTCAGATTCATCTTTGGTTTAATTGTTCGTTGATCCGACCGGTGACATTGAACATGTGTTCTTAAGGAAGTTATGTAATTGATCAATGTCTGAATTAAGTTAGGATAATCACTGGTCTCTAGTACTCTAATTCACCTTAATCATTTGTTAATGGGAGCTTAGTAGTTAAATGTTATAGACTTGTTGCTTTATTGTGGATCTATAAAGCAATTCAATAATGATAATTTCTGTGCTATAGTCTGTATTAATCTTTTGTCAAAATTGAATGATTAGCAATCTTTTTGTCTATTTTTTTCTCTATGGAATGGGTCTTGACGTTTGCTAATTGAAAACATGATTTAGTGACTTTTGCTAATTGAAAACATTATTTAGCTATAGATTTGTGTTAATCTGCAATTGTAAATTTTACTCTTGTTATGTTTATGAATGTATCTTTTTTGTGTGTAGAATGGACCCTAAATGAGCAAGTGGCAATTGCAGCTATGGACTGTCAATGTCTCGGTGTTGCACAGGTGTGTATATTTTCTTTCCGCTGATACCGTGTGAAGCAACTTTTATAGTGGATCATTTTAATGTCATGTAAATTTCTATTCGATAGCATGGATGGTATTGTGATAGGAATTAATTGTTTCCGAAAAATGAAAGATTGACTAGTACACATTCCTATTTTTCCATCGAGTTCTTCTTATCACACGCGCTTCCTTCAGCTTGTGAGAAATTGATGATGTTGATATCTCACGATGACTTCACCTATGAATTTTTGTAGAATTGCATTAAGGCTTTGCAGCAGAAATTTCCTGGGAGCAAAAGGGTTGGTAAGTAAATCCAGCAATGCTAAATTGTAAAATATCATTGGTAACTTATATTGGTAACTAAGTCGCTGAAGTATTCTAGTTAAGTCAGGTGTGTTAATTTAGCTAACTCACATGTTTTTTATGCTGACTAATATTGAACTGTTTGGCCATTGTTGGTCTAGTCGTAAGTTTTCTGGTTGTTTTGAAATGGAGATTCTTTCGATTGTAGTTTAAGTTGATTTCAGTCTAAACCTCATATGGTAATTTCAGGGAGGCTTGAGGCTTTACTTCTTGAAGCAAAGGGATTATGGGGAGAGGCTGAGGAAGCATATTCGAGTCTTTTGGAGGATAATCCACTCGACCAAGTAAGTCTTCCGCGATGAAACCACCCAACATTTGCTTCTAAGTTTACAGTTTTGAAAGTACAACGTAAATGTCTTATACAGGCGATACACAAACGAAGAGTGGCTATATCCAAGGCACTAGGCAAACCTTCCATAGCCATTGAGCTTCTTAACAAATATCTTGAATTGTGAGTGCTATACTTATCCCACTTCGCATATAAAAGAGAGCTACCGGATTAGATCACTTCATCGTTTTTTCTTTGTGTGTAGATTCATGGCTGATCATGATGCATGGAGAGAACTTGCAGAGCTTTATCTTTCTTTGCAAATGTAAACCTTTTCCTATCCTCTTTCTTCCCTCAGATTATGTTGCAGAGTTTTAAGGTGTGTGTCTCGGTTACAGGTATAAGCAAGCAGCTTTCTGCTACGAAGAGCTCATACTATCTCAGCCTACTGTTCCATTGTACCACCTCGCATATGCTGACGTATGTGTAACTTCCTCAAACAGACCGCATTTGATCAAATCTGAATTTAGTAGTTGTTTTTCTTTACGCTCTTTCGTTTGTGTACAATTTCAAAATCAGGTTCTCTATACAATCGGCGGAGTAGAAAACATTATCTCAGCAAGAAAATACTATGCAGCAACCATAGATTTAACAGGCGGCAAAAACACTAGAGCTCTTCTCGGAATCTGCTTGGTAAGTAGTCTCCTCTACTATGGCAATTTTCATAGATCTTCTCTATTTGCAACTGATAGATAACCGCCAAAATCTGTTTTTCCTCCTTCAGTGTGCATCTGCCATTGCACAGCTCTCAGAAGGCAAGAACAAAGAGGACAAAGACGCGACGGCAGCTCCAGAGCTTCATTCTCTGTCTGCAGCTGCAGTAGAGAAAGAGTACAAGCAAAAAGCTCCGGACAAACTCCAGCTCATCTCTTCCGCCTTAAGAAGCTTGAAAATTTGATCGCAAGCAAACAAACGATGTTCTGGCCCACAAGACGCAAACGCTGTTTCTTCATTGTCACATAATGAGCCAGTAGCAGACTTAGCAGTAACAGATAGTCGAAAAAGTCGAACTCTAATTTTCAAATAACTTCCTTAAAACTGAAGAGAAATTTGCTTATTGTTACATACCAAAATCGAATGATTTATTTGTTATTTCACTACTGCATTCACAAACTGAAACAGACTTAATGACGATAACTGCCGAAATGGTTTCTCTAGCTCTTATCACTCCTTACCCTTTACGGTTTCCATGCTTGCGGCGTTCAGCTTCTTGTGTATCCCTTCGAATGCGATCAACGTACATTGGAAGACGGGTAATCTTTTTGATCTCCTCCAGCAAAACGTCCTTCGTGATGTCATCCTTTATGCACTTTATCACGCTATGACCGGTTCCAATACCATTCGGTTTAGATTTATCAACTCTGATCCGCAAACTAACCCATACTTTCTTCTCCTTATCCCATGAACACTCTACAATCTTTCCACAGTAACTGGCCGGGTTATTGTCCCAACCATCACCTCTAAATTCAACGGAATAGCCTTCCATAAGCTTCATCTTCCCACGTTCTTGCAAGAAGAGCATTTGACGCCCATACTTGTCCATGTCAAACAGAAAATCAAGTGTTTCCACAAACTTCCATTTCAATAGACCGTGGTCCGTTCCGAAAACATAAGGATCGTCCCACCCTTGAAATATTAGACCGTCTGTTTCATGCGAAAGCGATGGAATCTTCTCCACAGCAGAGAGTAAACAAAAAGGCTTGATCCGTACCCCAAAAGGCTCCATCTCGTATCTATACCAATGATTCATAACCTTCTTCTCATCGTTACGCGGTCTGATCACCTCTCTCTCAAGAATATTCCATCTTTCACTAAAAGGCCGCTCTGCCACTGATTGCCCGTTAATCGCTACCAAATCATACACGAGGTACCTCCTCGCCTGACACCGCCTTCCTCCCACCTCAAATGTGTCTATAACCATCTCTCCATCAAGCAATGTGTAATGATGCACTTTATAATCACTCGGGTCGTACTTACAAGGGAACCGCATTTGTACCCTTCTAAATCTAAACTCTCTATTAACCAGATAACACCCATCTCTAGTCAAGAGCATCATATACCGCGTTCCATCTGCCTTCCATGTCGCGTAATAGTACCGCTGCCTCAAGAGTTGCAATGCCTCCCTGCCTAAAGATACAGGGTGCGAGCCAGGGAACTGCATAGAAATATTCAGCATATCATTAATTAATTGCTGGTAAGAAACCTCTTGACCATAGGGTATGTCATCCCCCAAAATATCATCATTCGACAACTTCTTCACATTCTCCTCCTGATTGTTTCCTTGCACTACAGGGTAAGACAGAGCATCATCATCATCGTCGACTTTAACTTCTTCAGACCTCTTCCATTCAGGAGTTGGTGGACATATAACACTCTCAGGTTTAACTTCATGATAAAAACTGTATAGAGCATCAATGTAATCGGGTTTATAGATCCCAGGCGGGCGAGCATCGGAAAACATTTTCAAGGCTTCTGTAACACTCATCATCGGTCTAGACCGCATAAGGTAATGAACAATCATAAACCCTGTACGATTATGTCCGTGAGTACAATGCACAAGAACATACTTCTGTGAGAAGTTATTCTCGAACTGATTAACCTCGTAAACAAATGTGTTTACCGACACATTATCCGGCACAGCATCACGACCACTGCAACGAATCTTAACATACTTGATACCGTTATGTCTTAACTCGGTGTTAGGATGATAGTAACGAGTTGTATTGGTAAGATCAATCACAAGACCAAGCCTCGTCCTTCCACTAGTGAACCACTCTTTGAAATTGTATCTTTTGCCAGAAGGAACACAATCATTGTACGATTCACTGAGAGGAACTTTTGAAGGAATGATGAATCCAATATCTTGACCAAAGCGAGGACAATCTAACCAACCTTGAGGGATGGTTACGTTCTGATCACGGAAACTTGTTTGTCTCAATCTTTTGCTCTGTTCTTCATAAGTTTCGATTCGGTCTTCGAGATGTCTCTTCGTAGCAATCATTTTCTAACAAAAAGGGCAAAAGAACAACACCGGATCTCTATTTTGTCTGATTTTTCTAAGCAAGAAAAACCCTAGACATGACGAGCCATCGGATTCTCAAACCACGAAGAAGAGCAAAAGAATCACACGATCAAATGAGAAGATTCGTCTAGAAGACTGAAATTGCGATCTGAGGGTTCAAAACCCTAAATCGTCAACGAGAAAATATTGTAGTGGGAATAGAAATTGAGAGGCGACAAGGTCGTATTTATAGTGGTGACACATTAGAAAATTTATTATATATTTATATTCATTTATTTATTTAGGGTTTTCTGCTGCTGAAAAGGAAAAAAGAAATGGTTTTTCTACCAAAAAAAAAAAAAAAAACCTCCAAGTTTACGAAATCTTTTTAAGAACCCGAAAAAAAAAAACTATGCGTTTGACAAATTTTATGGCTTTTTCCAAGTCTTGTTTAAAAATTGACACAATAGCATTTGTTATTTGCTAATTTAAAGAATTTAGGACTTCTTGGTTTGAACATGGAGTCGTTCTCAAATATGACACGATAGCATTTGTCTTGTGTGACTAAAGGAAGGAACAGACCAAAGTATGGCGACGAATCGGAATGTGAAAGCTATGAAACATCTGACTTACTAAATCAGTTCATGTACAAATCCCTCCAAATGCCTCTCTATAAACAATCTTTTTACCACTAGACTACATGTTGATCTAAAACTTCTTATTTTAAATGATGTTGCCAACAATCTAATTAAACCAAAAAAACACACTAAAGAATACAGAATAAATAAGGCATTAGCAATGGTCAAAACAAAAACATGATTAGATTTAATCAAACCCTATTTTTTAGACTATTCACAAAAACATATGCGTTAGGAACGGTCAACACAATATTAGCCCAGTCAATGTTTCCCCAAACTTCATCACTACCATCGCGTCTTTCAAGCGCAATCACGGCACACCAAATATCTTTCTCTTGACAAGTACCATGAAGCACAAACTTGTCCCATAAGATTAAGAGTTTCCCACCATAGTTAGCTATTTCAATCATACCTGCACAACCAAGATTCTTGATCAACATATCTAAACCTCTGACCACTCTCCATTCTCTATGACTTGTGTCATACCACCAGCAGCTCCGTTTATCACAACAATACCATACATTATCTATCAGCGATTGCACGTGTGATTTTATTGTAACATCCCATTTACCTTCTTTTGGATCATAAACAGAGTCTTTCTTCTCATTGCTTCTAACGTAAAGCTTTCCTTGGAACACTTCTATTTTTCTAATTGAAGAAAAGCGGAGCTCAGCGCCAGGGTCAGGTAAAGGTTCCCAAGTTTGAGTCATTATGTCGAAAACCTCACCCCAATTCGCGGATTCATCAGCCCTGCAACCTCCCATTACATATATTTTCCCATTGTGGACGCGTGCAATGGCTTTCGCTCGAGCTACAGTCATGTTGGGGGCTTTACGCCAAAACAAGTTCTTCTTATTACGGACCCACATCATGGAGGATGGATCATTATATTGTTTGAGTCCGTACACTTCTGAACCAACTGAAATGGTGTAAAATGGTACCGTAGAACAATAGGAAGAAGGTATTGGTACCAACCGAGTATCTCCGATAGATCTCTCCTTCTTCTCGAGTTGGTTGGTTAGGGTTTGACCAGGTTTTATCCAGAGGACAAACAAGGATGAACAAGGTTTATCGGAAAACTGTAAGCAGACATGAAATAAGGTTTTATGGGTTTTAAGGTGCAATCTCGCCACAGTGAGCTCATTAGAAATGAGGAGAGTGCGGAAGGTCTTGCAGACTAGGGAGAGTTTCGGATAGTATGATCTCGATATGCGGGCTAAACAGTTCAAGACGATTTCATCAGGGAGCAACGACAAAAACGTCAGCGTCTCTTCCTTTCTAGAGAACGTTGTGTAAAGTAAGGCCACTGAGTTCTTGAAATAAGCCCGTTTCAAAAATGGCACCAACACAACGAAGAGCCAAACAAAAATCCACAACGAGCTAATCATGATCAAGGATATAACAAACTGTTGGATTATCAAAGGACTTTGATAAATAAACAGAGAGACTTGACGAGAGAGGCAGAAACAGAGTTGGGAAAACTGAAACTTTATTAATTGAGAATCTGAATTTTTGTTACAAACAAAGACAACGTGTTCTTATAGTATTCAAAAGACACGACCAAACAACACTAATAACAAGGGTTGTGACTCTTCACTTCTAACTCTTAACATAACTACCCTTAAGACAAGACACACCTCTTAATGTATAAACTTAACAAACAAACATAATTAAATAAAGCAAGCGACCAAACTCAATTAACCTCTAACACAAACGTCCACAGGGATTCAAAGGTAGATCTAATGTTCCATATATATATGGAAAAGATATAACTTTAGGTGAAATTTAGGATCAATTTTTGCAATAGATTAGTTTGGATTTTGGAATTAGATTATGAAACAAAAATATAAAGAGAATTTTTGGAATTGATAGATTAAATTGGGACTGTTATTTATTAGGATGTATTATTAATATTATATAGATTTTTAGGTGTTGTTAGATTTAATTAATTAAATATGTGTTGTAATATTTTGTGATATGAAATATTTTTGGAGTTTATATAGTTAATTATATTTTAATAAATGCAATGTGATATGTTATATTTTATGGATTAAATATATTTTAATTATTTAGATTTTTATCATGAAATGTCATATTTTTGGATTTTTTGTTAAATATCTGATTAGTACTAACTTTTAACATTATTGATTTGTTAGAATGATTTCTTATGTTATGTTTTATGAACCCTTTTCTGTCGTAATGAACTTCTGACAAATTTTATAAATTTCCATAGGAATCCACATGTTTTCTTGTTGTAGAGTAGAGAGAGTAGTGACTTACCATAAGCTTAATAGACATATTTATCACCTATACACCTTTATTCAATAAACCATAAACCATCTCACTGTCTCTAATAAGAATACATTTATATTTGTCAACCAATAAAAATAAGTTATATATATAGATGATTTTTTTTTGTTATAATTACTACCTAAAAATTAAGAGCATGTGCAATGCAGAGAGTCTCTCAAATATATTATTCTAATACATATGATTTAATTTAATTATCTATTTTAATTTTAAATAATAAAAAACTTAAAAACAATTATATACTGACAAGTGTAAAAATAGTCTTTCACAGAGTTCTCAAATGTTTTCAGATGAGAATCGATTCTCGTTTTTCGCCCCCACTTTTAATTATTTTTAATTTTTTATTGGTGAGAATCTATGTGAGAACTCCTCATTCAACATGCTCTAATCTAAGAAACTTTCCTAATCTAATATTGGTGATTAAGAAACTTTCCTAATCGGATGGCCTATCGGATGCATCTATTAGTGGAATCTATGAAGACATCAAGTTCTGGGCGGCGAAGTTTAAGGATCCTCTCTTTGTTCATGTAAACCGATCTTGTAATCAAGTAGCTCATTGTCTAGCCCAATTTGGGTCCAATAATTCTAGTTTTTATTCTGAAAGTTTTAATCCTCCTTTTTGGATGATAAACAAGTTGTATACGGATCTTTCAAATTAATATAAGTTATTTTAACGAAAAAAAAAAAAAAAAGAGAAACTTTCCTAATCTGTATCCAAAATGTGAATGATGTCACAAAATCTGTATCCATAGAAATTAAAGTTCCTGTGACTTTGACAATTCAAAATCTGTTTAAGTTCTTTATCTCTGAGATATATATATACATTTCCAGTAATATTATTCTACACGTAGGAATCACATTTTCTCCAGGTTACATCAGATTGATGTATATTGGTACGAAATCTATTTAAGAACCAAATATAAAAAAAAGAGCTATGCTTTAGAAAAAATTTATGATCATGTTTCCAAGTAATGCCAGTTTAAAAACTGCACTGTAGCATTTTATTTGGCAGTGCTTAAAAAACTTAGGACTTTTGGGTTTGTCTGAACATTGAACATGGATCGTCTCTTGACTCTCTTTCCAATATAATCTTTTAACTCCATCTAAACCGAAACTTCTACGGTCTTGTGTGAAAGCTATGAAACATCTGATTTGCTGATTTACTTCACGTAAAAATCTTTTTACCACTAGACTACATGTCCGTCTAAAACAATATTTTGTAGTTGGTTGTATTTCTCGTTGATGATGCCACTAATATTAACTTTTAAGTATAAAAGTCACAATACACAAACGAATAAAGAAAAAGAAAAAAAAAGAGCCTTTGACAAACAAAAACATGATTAGATTTAATCACCACCTGTTTAGTAGACTATACAAGAAAACGTATGAGCACGGAACCGTAAGCACAATACTAGCCCACTCAATTTTTCCCCAAACTTCATCAATACCATCACGTTTTTCAAGCGCAATCACCGCACACCAAATATCTTTTTCTTGAGAAGGACCAATCTTGTCCCATAAGATTAAGAGTTTACCACCATAGTTAGCTATTTCAATCATTTCACAACCTAAATTCCTGTTCAATATAACTAAACCTTTGACCACTCTCCATTCTTTACTATTTTTGTCATACCACCAGCAGCTTTGTTTATCACAATAACACCATACATTACCTATCATACATTGCAGGTGTGATTTTTTTGCAACATCCCATTTACCTTCTTTTGGATCATAAACAGAGTCTTTTTCCTCGTTGCTTCTAATGTAAAGCTTTCCTTCGATCACCTCTATTCCTCTAATTGAAGAAAAGCGGAGCTCCGGGCCAGGGTCAGGTAAAGCTTCCCAAATTTGAGTCTTTGGGTCAAAAACCTCACCCCAATTCGCGGATTCATTAGCCGCGCAACCTCCCATCACATATATTTTCCCATAGAAGACGACTGCACGGGCTTTAGCTCGAGCTACAATCATGTTGGGAGAATTACGGCAAAACAAAAACTCCTTATTACGCACCAACATGTTGGAGGACGGATCATTGCGTTGGCTGAGTCCGTACAATTCGGAACCAACAGTAATGACATAAAGTGGTACTTTATTATAATATGACGAAGGTATTTGTACCAACCGAGTATCTCCGGTAGACCTCTCCTTCTTCTCGAGTTGGTTCATTAGGATTTGACCAGGTTTTATCCAAAGGGTGAACATGGAGGGACTAGGTCTATCAGGAAGCTTTAAGCAGACATGAAAAAAAGTTTCAGTGGTTTTAAGGTGAAATCGCTCCACGTTGAGCTTATGGGACATGAGAAGGGAGCGAAAGGTCTTGGAGACTAGGGAGAGTTTCGGGTAGTGTGATCTCGATATGCGGGCTAAACAGTTCAAGATGATTTCATCAGGAAGCGACAAAAACGTCAGCTTCTTCTCCTTTCTAGAGAAGGTTTTGTAAAGTAAGGCAACCAAGTTCTTGAACCAAGCCCGTTTTGAGAATGGCACCAACACAACGAAGAGCCAAACAAAAATCCATGAACAGTTAATCATGATCAAGGATGTAACAAGCGTCCACAAAGATTCAAAAAAGAAAAGAATCAAAAGAAACCAAAACTATAAGATTCGTCAAGGAGACTGAAATTGCGATTGAATCAATGTTCAAAACCCTAAAGACGCGAGTCGTAATTATAATGGTAACACTAATATGATCTGGATTTGAAGTTGATGGACATTTATTGGGCTTCATTGTAAATTTATCAAAAGAAATTTTCATATTTAGCATTGAAAAAAGATTTGGTCTCAGCTTTTGGCAAAGTAAGATTTCATTTTCACGTGGTGGCAGTTAAGCCAAATTGTGACGAAAATACCCCTAACGACGAAAACCAAACGACACAGTTAATTTTGGTTTAGTTGCTTTCCTTTGTTTTACATCACACGGTTTAGTTAGTTTTGAATATAGAAAAAAAAAAAATTTCGTTGCAGAAACTATCGAAGAAAACGAAGAAGAAGAAGGAGAGAGAGACGGAGAGATTCGAGAGAGAAGTAGAAATCAGTTCGGAATTCATTCATCCGTCTTCGTTTTCGACATCTCCGTTCGAATTGTCGGCTACTTGATTTGAGGCATTGCATTGAACTCGATAAACCGGCGAAGAGAAAGTTCCAGTTTTTCCGGCGAAGGCGACCTGAGAAACCTCCGGCGAGATAGAAACCTTCGAGATGGCTGGGAATAAACAAAACGACGAAGTACCAAGGAAGCAGCATACGCGGGAAGGCCCGGAGAAGGAGAAGCGGGTACTCAGAGTATCCCCGAGGAGGAAACTCTCTCCGACAAAGCCGCCGGAGGAATTGAGTAAGTTCATATATTATTTCGTTTGTAGTTTCTTTGGGTGTATCGGAATCTTAAAGCTTGATTGATAAAAGGGATAGAATTTGCCGGATTTTGCTATATCTGTAGTTTGAAAATTTGAGAAGATGAATTGGAAATCTCAATTTCCGCCAAAATTCAGATTTTGAGTATATAATGTTGATAATTACTGTGTACGTACACGAATTCATACATCCTTACTTAATTGTATATCACTTGTAATTGCAGGCAGTACAAGCGTGGCTCTGACTGAAGATCTTATAGTTGAAGAGTTACCACCTAGACTCTTTACCCTAGACCGGTACCCTGTCAAGACGAAGATGAACGCGTACTCCAAACCGGAGTACCTTTCTGACATAGCGCAAGTTCTTAAGGGAAAAAAGGAGATGAAGTTTCTTCTCGAGTCTCCATTTGGGGACCTTTTTAGGATACCTGCTAACAAGTCTTCCTTCTCAGGTAAGCTTGTTCTTGGACTAATATGTCATCAGTTAGTGACGAGTAAAGTGAATGAGATGTGGATGGTCTTCGGCGGTCATCCAATAAAATTCGGATTAAAAGAATTTAGTCTGGTAACTGGTCTAGAATGTGGGACATATCCCAACAAGAAAGACGTGACGGATGTGCTAAAGGTTAAAGCTGGGAGTCAAAGTGTCTGGAAAACTCTGTTTGAGGAGAAGTTTGGGGAGAAGCCGAATCCAACAGTGCATGATTTGGTGGTCTGGCTGAAGGAGGAGGAAACCATGGATGGGTGGAAGCAGCTGGCCTTATCTCTTATAATCTTGGTAGATGGTGTGATAGGGTGCCATAATAACCCCATAAGGCCTTCTAAGTTCACTGTTGAGATGACGAAGAACGTGCAATTCTTCTGCAAATACCCTTGGGGAAGGGTGTCTTTTACCCGTAATTTGGAGAGGATAGCAAAATTCCAAACCCCTTCAGATGCTCAAAAACTGATAAGGTGTGTAAAGGATGGGTCTTATGCACTACATGGATTCCCATTAGCACTCCAGCTGTTTGCGTTCGAAACAATCCCATCCCTTGCTAAGCTAGTACCTGATGATGAAGCTAACAGGACATTTACTCAGAGGTCTATCCATCATCTTGCCTCACTGCGGGCAATCAGGACATCCAGCATCTTGGAGCGTGAGGCTGCTAAAGAGGTATGTACAATTTTTTATGTACGTACATTATTTAAAAAGTAAGTGTACATTCTCTAAGTGGTTAACAAACTTATTGGTGTAGGTTGAGGTAACCTATCTTGTGAAACCAGAGGACAATATTTGTCCTCCATCCCTATCATGGGATGATGAAGTTGAGGATCCAAGAGTTGCTTACATTGAGCAACTGTTGTTAGCTGGTCATGAGTGGAAGGAGGAAGAATGGGTTGGAGGTAATGCTGCATTTCCAAAGCAGGAGCGCCCACCACAACTTGGAGAGATACGTGAGTGTAAATGTTGTTTTTATACTTTCTGATTATTGTCCCTTGAAGACCAAACAATGATTAAACTGGTCTATCGTAGGTGTGAAGAAGAGGAAAAGAAATGTACCAGCCCCGAATGCACCTGCTTTGAAAAAACAGAAATCTGTTGTGGAAGAAGAAAATGAGGACACTGCTGAGGATTGTTCTGAAGATCCCCAGTTTGAGAAGTTTGTAGTTGAACTTAGGAGGTGTTTCAAGAGGCAGGAAGCACAAAATAAACAAATGCAAGAAGACTTGAAGAAATTTGTCCGTAAGGAGATACGTGCTGCCTTAGATCCAAAGGGCAAAAAGACAGAACCAACCAAAACTTCCCATGCTTCACAGGGCCCAAATAAATCGGTGGTTAAGGCACCGATGAGTGTGAAGAAGGCATCTAAAAAGATGTCTACAAAGAAAGTCTTCAAGTCTGGAACAAGAAAGTCTTCAAGGCTGAAGAATATAATGACGTCAGTTGCGGAGATTACTCAGCTTTCTGATGGTAACTCTTACTCTGAGGAAGATGACCAGGTATGGCATGTACGTACATTTATATATAGTATTTTAAATGTACGTACATGAAGATTAATAACTGTAACTTGTCTGCTATGGTACAGGATGAAGCCAACAATGAAGGTGGTTTTACTGCAAATGATGGAGGAGATTTTTTGAACAGAGACGAAGATATGGTTGACACTGAAGTAGCTAACATTTCAGTTGGTGGACCTACACCTTCCCATCAGGTATGTCGTGTAGAAATATTTTTATCAATTATTTCCAGTTGTGTACGTACACATAGGCTTTAGAAGTGCATGGTATACTATGTTTCAGGATGAAGGAGCACGTGATGGTGGTGAGTCTGTCCTTGTTGGTACACAGTCAGGGACCGAGGAAAAAGCTAGTGCTGACACAGAGATGGAAGAAATTCCATCTCCTGTACCTTCAACCTCTGTACAGGTATGTCTTGTGCTAATAGTCACATATTGTGTTCCATAAGTGTACACGTATCAATTATTTTCAGTTCTCCACGTACATATAGCTTAAGAAGTGTATGGTATACTATGTTTTAGGATAAAGGACCAATTGATGGTGGTGAGCTTGTCGTAGTTGGTACACAGCCAGGGACCGATGAAAAACCAACTGCTGACACAGAGATGGTAGAAAATCCATCAGGTTTACCTGCAACATCTGGACAGGTATATGGTCTGCTAATAGTCAAATGTAGTTTTCCATATGTGTACTCACATAAAGCTTAAGACGTGTATGGTATATTTTTTTCAGGGAGAAGAACATGGTGCCGGTCTTGAGAGTGAAGCAAATGTTGGGGACCAACCAGAAATTTGTGAGGATAATGATAGAGATACATCTTCTCAGGCTGAACACACCGAGGAACCCGGTGTAAGTGTACGTACATTTGTCATTCTTATTTCCCGTGTACGTATAAGTAATGATTGTTTCAGACATCACAAAATAGAGGATATAGCCGATGAAGTTGATAACTACTGCCACAGGTTGATGCGGGAGATGTACCATTTGCAGTAGTTAAGAATGTAAGCTAACTATATTTTTAAATAAAATAGTGTAGGCTTGTTTAAATTTATAATCTTCTATTATGCAGGTGTTACAGGAGTTGGCAACGAAAGCCTCCATGGATGTGGATGCAGCTAATGTAAAGGAGGTAAAAATCTCGTGTTTGGTTTAAAATTATACACAGTTATTAACATACGTACATAGGATTGTATGCGTACATTTAAATAATTCTGCACGTTAATTTGAAAAGGGAGTGTTGGAGCAGCAGGGGATTGTCGACGGGGTGGAAGAACAAGAGGATTCAAACCCAGGGTTAGATGAAGCAGACACGACAGTTGGTACACTAGAAAATATTGTGAGTATCTTCCCAGTAAATATTATCATTACATTTTGAAATTGTTTAATCATGGTGTTTACAATAATACTTCTTTACAGGATGAACCAAACAACGATGCTTCACTCGAAGCAATAGCAGTTAAAATTCCTACGCCGGTTGTACCCAAAAAAGTGAAGAAGCAAATAATTTTTGAGATGGATGAAGCCCTTCCGGAAGGTTTTAAGGAAACAACAGTCCTCCTGGAGGATGTTCCTGGACGAGCTGAAGATTCAGAGGTGGTTATAGCGGCTGAAAATGTCCCTTACAACCCCTTGGAGAAGGTTGACGCTTCCAAATTAAAGCTCTTAACCAATGTCCTCCGCGGTCCGAATGTGTAAGTATCGTGCATTATCAAAATTATCCCTTAATTGATACATTGGTTTTCTATAATAACCAGTCATACTATAATATTGGATATACAGGAAGCACACTCTTTTCGGGTATCGCAAAGTGGACAACGAGTTTTTCTCCATGCTTATAGCACAAGGACAGTGGGTGGATAATATGGTAAGTTGAAATAGTACATTTATGTACATTTTTTAAATATGCCTGAAGTGTACGTACACTGACTGTCTATGCTATTATCATTTCAGGTCTTAGAAATGCTCGTAATCTTGATGTGTCACAAGAACGGTCAACAAATGATAGCAAACCGATGCGTTGTTTTGGACTCCTTCCTGCTTTATGAGCTTACTAAGCGTGCTGTCAGCTTCAGGAATTGTATAAATAAGCTTGGGTTCAAATGGGGCGACCGGCTATACGACATGGCCAATGGAATACACATACACCGTGAACCTAGTCTTAGGTGGTTCAAGGATGTCGACGTGGTATATGCTCCGATGAACTGGAAAGGTGATCATTGGGTTGGGTTGGCAATCCACCTCAGAGCCCGGCATATAGTTGTCTATGACGCTCTCATAGAACACACGCGGGAGTCTGTTGCATGGTCAAAGATGTAGCCTGTCTGTGAGATGATGCCGTACCTAGTGAGAGCGATGTGCGCGGATGTATTGCCTGAGAAGTACTCAGTTGAACCTTTTGCCTATGAGAGAAATGTTATGGTCGCTCAAAACCCAAGTACAGGAGATTGCGGGCCTTACGCGAAGTTCTTGGAGTTGCTGGCGTTTGGTAACCCAATGTCAGACTTGGTGAATATTCAAGAAGCAGATATGGCCACCTACCGTCAGGTGTACGCAACAGAAATCTTTGAGCACGGCAAGCGCGAGTGTGGTTATCGGCGTTTATTGTAATCATCCCTGGATGTTGAATTATTATTATTTCCTAGTACTTATTTCCTTATTTTCAACAACCAAATTAGAACAACGTAATTAATTATGGAGATCCTAAAAATATTTATGTAATCGTTATAACTATCTTCTTTAGACAATCTGCACATCGTACACTTATTCAAAAACCAACATGTGTACGTACATCTTATATAACGTACGTCATTTACACAAAAGTCGATTTTTCTCATAATAAGATATCTATTTCTTTACTTACATTGATTTGACAACCCTCCCTCACTGCATCATCACTTACGTAAGATTGCATTAACTACAACCATAACTTAACCAACTAACTTCATTGTTCTTTATTTAAGAGTAGGAATTGCATTGTTTTGAAACACCAAATTCCAAGAAATGTCTACACCAAATCTACCTGAAGATTTGCTAGCCAAGATAGCCAAAAAAATGGCTGACAAATGTTGGTGGTACCTCGGACCTCTGTTAAGATCAGGGCGTGGTGGAAGAAACATTGTCTACAGGCCGGATGTCTTGAAAGATGCTAATATTTATAGCATGTGCAGTGATCCCGATGACTTCCATGCGGCAGGCCATGATCCGAATGACATCAACGCTGAAGGTCGATATAGACCCTTTTTCATAAGGTTTCTAGAGGCTGGTAACCCGATTGCTATTTACCATGAAGGACTGCGTCTAGTTACCCATGAGTCTGACATTAAGGGCGCCATTATACTTTTACAGCGGAATGTACTAAGGCACGCTGATGCAACCCTGGCCTGCGCTATTCTGTGCATATGCGACGGGAATGCTCACATGGGTGGTGTGTACCTACGCCTGTTCGCAAACAACCATTACGCTTTGGAATCAGAAGAAACACGTGACATGTGTGAGGAACTCCTAGAAGAAATAAAAAATTATGGAATTAAGTTAAACAACACATACGGCGCAACCTTTTCGTACCCTAAGGAACGTGGTATTCAAACGCCTCCTTACGCGATGTTGTGTTACATCAGATTTGGACCCTTCAAGAATGTGTGCAACGTATGTTACCTCTGGTGGTGTGCGAGAAGAATTAGTCAAATTCTCTAGGCATTTCTTACGTAATATTATTTGAATTTCTGAGTTTTTATGTTATACTATGTGGCCTTTGCAATTATACTTTGCTTATCAGTAATGCATGTCTTTTTATCTACATCCTTGCTTGTTTCTCATATACTACTCAATCTTATGAATGGTTACAAATAATTATAATATTTTATAGTAAATTGAGAAACAAGTTTCTTAATGTTAGATAATGGTGCCTTGTCAACACAGGCTTACGAATTATCATTAAATACATACTGACCTGATTTAGCCATTGATAATGACCTCTATCTTTAAAAAAAAAAAAAAAAGGAAATTAATGTACATATATACGTACACATCCCTGTAATTAATGTACACTGTCTTTTGTCAGATAAAACAAAATTGCAAAAGAAAGAGATTTGGTTTTTAATGCGTTTCCCCCAGATTTAGCCATATACATGAACTCAATCTTTTCCCCCTAATACGGCGACAGACATCAACTCAAACTTTTGGTCAGAGAACGTAATAAGGGTAGACATACGTACACGGGTATACGTTACTGTGTACAAGTATTTTAGTTGGTTTGAAACTAGAAATATGAGAAGCGACTTTCGAGATGGTAGTAAATGATGATGCAATGCTTATTGATTTGACCTGTAATAACCTATATCTAGAAGTTTTGAAGTGGTTATTTAATGCATACTATCAAGCTCTCTATTCATAGAAATGACCTCTATCTTTTCGCATAAATCTCCTTAATATACGTACACGGTTTGCAATTAATGTACACTGGCATTTGTCAGATAAGAAGAACTTTAAAATAATAACACTTTTTTAATGCGTTCCCCCCAACTGTAGCCATATACATGAACTCAATATTTTGCCCCTATATAAACGATATCACACACACTAATTTATTTGCTCACATTCTTCTAAAACCTCCTGCATTCATCAACTGCAAGATTATTTCTAAATCTCCTTTGTTAACAACATGGCTTTCCCCGCAACCCCTCCAACCGAGATGTACCTTTCAATACAATTGCCAAACCCGATTTTCGTCCTCATCAACTACTTGCCCGTATCCCAGACTCCCATCGAGACCCTCCGCCACTTGGTCGAAGCAAGTGACGTAAACGCAATAGTGATGGACGACTTCATCACATGGCCTCACTTCGTGCAGCCGGAGTCTCCCTTCAGGGCCTACTTCAGCCTCTTCCTGGAAGGGGTGCGATCCCGGCTATATACCTCGAAGGTGTCCGCTAGGCAAGCAGCTTCCTAACGGTGGCCCAGGACATTACACTACTCAACTCCGTCGCTCCATCCAACCCTCTCGCCTGCTTCGCGACCGGTTTATTCCTAACTTGTACTGGCAACCATGTCGACTTTCTTCCAGTCAGCGATATGTTCTGGGCGATGACACCCACATTAGCGGCAACTCACGTAGTGGGGGAGCTGGTGATGTATCACATAAGCCAGCTTCACACCGAAGGTCCTCGGCTCTGGCAACGTTCATGGAGGTATGTGCACACACCGGCATGTGTTGGCCTTTGCACGTACAGTTCCGGCTGCAGAGGGTGTTTCTTTTACTGGTACGCAAGGGAGATGTGTGTCTTCTTTTAGATATGACTTTGATAATGACGGATGAGGCATACAATTTTCCGGCTCATGTGTATGCTTCGGCTCTACTTTTTTGTTTATTGCTTCCGCATCTAATATAAGTTGTTTGTCTTTCTTGATTGTATGTCCTTCTTCGGGCACTTAATTATGAATGAATGAAGTTTTTGTTGTATGAGGACAACAATTATGATATATGTATGTTTTCGTGTACGTACACGGATTTCGTACAATTTGCTGATTGAAGAACCAAAAAGCTAG